TCTCAGAATTTCACAAAAGGACCTGGTGGTAAGAATGTCCTTGGGTTGGAGATTGAAATTTATAATTAATTGTATTCCTTTATAGAGTGGTAGTGACACTGATGAATCAGAACACGTAAAGGCAATCAAGAACTACTGTTGCTGTTGGCTATTTCCGGTACGTTTTCCCTGAGCTGGCGAGTGATTAAAAGCAAGGACTTGGGTAAGAACGCTCCAATTTCGCTGAATTCCGGATTGCTGTTAGGGAAACACATTCTTTATTTTTACTGTACTGGTTCTTCCCCAACTCATAATTGAATATCAATATTCAGACAAGTATTGCAACATAATTACTGGTAGTTCCTGCACGCATACCTAACACTGATTGTGGGGGTATCAGATTTTCTATGACCTAAGAAATTTACGCAAGGTTTCAGTTTTAAGATTATACCAGGATACAATAGAATAAAATCTCTAACGGTACGAAAAATCTCGCCGGTGGTGTATGGGAATCCTTTATAGCAATAGGTTTCCATAACAACGATGGACCAATGTTTTCATGGAACCCTATTTAGCATAAAACTCTATGGCATGACCTTTTGCGTCAACTGCAAATTTTATCTTGTATCAGTTACAGTCGATTTTAATCTGATACTCCAAAGGAATGTAAGCTGGTGGCTCCTTACATTAGAATGCCAAAAATCTCCTGACGTCACATCTGTTTTTGTCATATGCTTCACCCCCTTGCTCCTCATACGGAAAGTGTCAGATTAAAAACGACGGACAATAAATTTTATTTTACCAAATGGTTAAACCGAGTTATCACTACCAACACCGTTGTGAACGAACGAGAAAAACAACATCAAGGCAGGATCGTTTGATTGCTCGTAATGAAACACGGAGTAGAACCCTTATTGCTATCAAACACTGCCAGAGCTTTCAAGCAGTAAGTGGCATAAGGATATCAACGCAAACCATAAGGAGTAGACTTCACGAGCGTGGACTTACGGCAGAATACGGCTAATAGCAGAATGGAGTAGGTTCATGTTCGCAGATGAATTTAGGTTTAATTTATGTGGAAGTGATGGACGAGTTTTAGTATGGAGAGGGAGAAATGAACGATATCTAGAAGGAAACATGGATGCAAGGGAACTGTTTGTAGGTGCCGGTGTGGTTGTTAAGGGTGGTGTTATGATGAATGGGAGAACGGATTTGGTTGTTTAACTGAGGGAATCGATGAATGCGGAAAGGTATCGAGACTGTATCAGTGATATTATTATTCCTTTCCACAAAACTTTGGAGACGATTTTGTCCTGGTGGACGACTATCTCGTATTTGTGAAAATTTTTAATAAAAACTTCTATACTTAGTTGATTTTTTTTTTGTTTGCGCATTTATAGTGTCTTTTTAACGTCCAATGATTTATCCATGCAGTATTTAAGGTTTCCGTGTTGGATACCTATTTGTCTATTGTTGGCCTGGTATGATGTTAAAACTGAAACTTTGCGTAAATTTCTTAGGTCATAGAAAATCTACATGAAATAGGCTTTCCGAATTTGAATCGCTCGTGAAAATCCGTCATTTCGTTTTCGAATTATAACATTTTAAAGATTGCATAACCAAAATTTGATGTTTAGTAGTGTATCTAAGGCCAAAGGGTCTAAATCCAAAAAGTGACAAAAACGTCTAGAGATATTGATGTTACCTTAGTAACGAACCATATTGTAGCAACTGAAATTTTTTTTTACCAAAGTGTCACACACACGAAATTTTTGCTTTTTTGCATGACATTGTTTATCACCCCGTATATCATGATAATAACTTTCCAACCAAAAATGTGGGATATGTAGCCTAATCTAGGAGAAACGCGCTTTTGAATGCCGCAAACCGCGTTCAAAAATATTTATTTTTAAAAAAGTTGCAGCTGTTTAAAAATAGGGCACAAAATTGAATGGACCGAACTTAATGTTGACCAGTTTATGTTCAAGCTTCTCATCTTCTTCAATAATATTGTTATTTCAATTATTATTGGGCAACATTATTTTTAAACTTAAACGCAACTTTCAGTAAGCAAAAATAGGTATAAACAAGCAAACCAAATAATAACAAAAACCAACTTATTGATGTATACAATCATCAATAAATAATATTGACATTACTTTAGTCAAAAAATAATTCCTTAGAGTTTCCCCTTGATTTAGTACTACGTTTTTTGAATGGTTAGTAGCATGATAGAAGGAACCGAACGCGTGGCCGAACCAAAGTCTGCCGAACTATTGTCGATAGTGACACAGAGTGCCGTTTCAGCCGACTATCGCTTTCGAAAATATACCTACTCCTGGACAAAATTATCGCACCACTGTTTATGGTGCTTATGTGCAGTGGTGGCACCGGCGTATCCAGCCCATGCGTCTGGGGGGGGGGGGGTAATCAGCCCAAGCCAGCGCGCCGGAGGCGAAATTTTTTTTACCGGGTGCCACGCCCAAAATCGCTTATATTGAGCCTTCAAAACATTTCTTTTCTACGAAAGTGGGGAAAATTGAACAGTGCAGAAAATCGATTTTCTTGCACGGTGCGGCGAATTTTTTTCCGCACAAATATCGGTGCGGAAAAATCTTTTCCGCACGGCTGTCAAAAAAAAATCAATAACTTACTACAAATTATGTAGGTATGTACTTATTTCCGCACCTCTGTAGAAAAAGTATTGTACCTAACACATGCAGAATATCTGTTTTCCACACTCGGCTGCTCCACCAAATTCCGCTACGCGTCTTTCAGTGAACGACAGACTAGTGCGGATTTTTTTTTTTCAGCACTTGTTAGGTAAATATATTCTGTACTACCAACAAATAACGAAACCGAACTCTCATAGCGAATTCCATTGGAAGGGTTAGTGCGCACTGAGTGTATTCGTGTCTTATTCTAGCAGCTTGTATAAGAAAGAGATAAAAATACATTTTTTTGCACTGATTTTATCAATGGAATTCGCTATGGGATTGCCCTAAAACTTTTTAATTATAGCGAATTCTATTGGTAGAATTGATACAATTTTTTTTTTATGCAAGCTAGAAGAGAAAGACACGAATATACTCAGTGTGCACTATCCCTTTGAATAGAATTCGCTATAAATGGCATGCGGGCAATGCGGACACTGTGCAAACTAGAAAACAAGTTAGGGCCAGTTGCTGAAAAGTTAAAATAGATTTCTTTGTAAGGTTTAGGGTACATATTTTTCGTCCATCGCAACGATCTTGGGGGGGGGTAATTACCCCCCGTACCCCCCCCTTGTATACGCCGGTGAGTGGTGGTGCGATAATTTTGTCCAGGAGTATAGATATCTACTATAGAGAGCGAGCTGTAGAATTCTATTGAGCACAGAGTCCCAGAGCTGGTTTCAACAGGAACGGTTAAAGTGATTGAACACTAATTTAATGCTATCATCATTTTGCCTCACCTAGTAAACTGAAACATCTCTCATGAATATATATTTGAAAAAAGTTGATGGTATTTTTTAAGTTTTTTCGTCACCACTCAGAAAGGCAACACTTCTATCCCACTATGCTTTCCATTCGAGTTTCCATCCATACCGTCTTTTAAAAATGATTCTTAAATCCATACAAAACTACTTGAACCTTGAACCTAATAAGGGGTCAGGTCATATTTTGTCTCAACTAAAAACAAATAAACGGTGACTGGTCAATTCCCGGAATCGTACATCGGGTTGGTTGCTCCAAGCGAGGCCAAGGTTGCTCCCAAGAATTAAATGACCCAGCCAGCCTGAGACAAAATTCGCTTTCGAGTTTTCTTTGATTTTAAATTGTGGCATTGGCGTAAGGCATTCCTGAACCCCAACTTCTAACCATCGAAAGCATTGGGGTGGGTAATTTTTTTTTGTATAGGTTTCATAAAAGCTGATTTTTTTTGATACATGGACTGCATACATCTTTTTTAACCAGGCTGAAAAAAACCTTCAGCTTTTCCCTTTCCAGCGAAACATCAGAAAAAAATTCTAGCTTGTTCCAATGTAACATCGAAATAGAGGTGTTTTGGGGTATTTAAAGGATAATTTAAAAAAAAAAATGCTCGGACACGTCAATTGAAAATCCAATGTTTAGTTCTCAAGATATTTACTGTCAAAGTTCCATGGGCTAAATAAGAAACAATTTTCTGGCCCTGTTATTCTCAAACTAACACTTTCCTGACTTTCCTCTCGGACACGTCAAAAATATGAACGATTTTTTCAATTTAATTTAGTTTTTGATCACTCTACCTATTCACTTATGAGCAATATATCTTCTTTAGGGAAACTCAACCCCAGTTAGTGCTGGTTTTTCAATAATAAGTCACCCCCAGGCTAAGCATTTAGGCCAGGACACATTTACCATGGAGTTAAAACCAACCAGGAACTCGTTATTGAGAAACCGACCCCTTAATTAGTAGTAATAACATATGGAAGAAATTTATATTGATGTGCAAATGTCTTCTTTAATTTTACCTAAAATTTTAAATATGTCAAAAATTGTTACACTTAGTTATAGGACGTTATACATGAAATGTGTCTAGATTTTTGCGTGGAATCCAAAAATGAAATAATATACATATAGGATCAATATTGTCAGTCAAATATCTCTGAACCGATTTAAGAAGTTCAGTAAAAACCGCATCTTGCCAACAAGTAGCTGTTGATATGTGATACTGTCAAACCAAAAAATATGGACATATGTCGGATGGTGGACAACCTGTATTATGTTCATTTAGTAGTTGCCTATGGCCTCAGTGCGATATGTTTGCAAAGACAAAAACCTCTGAACCAAAGGGTTCAAACAAACATCAGGACAAAATGGAATCTTATATTTGTTAACAGTCACCAATTTTGAACTCAAATTTGTCAAATACTGAAAGAGGATTTAAACAATTAACACAGTGCATTTATTGATATTACAATTTTTTTATTCCGCTATTTATTCCAACAACACTGGTAAGTAAAAATATCTTAACGAATTACTATTTCAATGTTACAGTCCCTGCAAAGCAAAGAAATCGAAGGCGTTCAAATTCAGCAAATCAAAAGCTAAAGACAAGGGTGATGCTAGCGGCTCCAAATACAAGATAAGAAAAAAGGCCACGCCTCAGAAAACCATCAAGAAATGTAAAACCCACCGCAATTTGACCAGTAAATATAATGGTAATCATTATCAAAAAATCATCATTCTTATCAAATTCATGTTTCAGGAGAATTACCAATTTTTGGCTGTACACTAAAAGATGCATGCCAAAGGGGAAAGTGCCATGATGGTATTCCCATTCCTCTTCCTGTAAGAGAATGTATTGATTTGGTTGAGGAACATGGGAAAATGTTGGAGAACGTTTACAAAACCAGCGGTCACAAACAAAAAAGCCAGTTGATTAAGAAAATTTATGACAGCAGGCAGCCTGCGAACCTCCACGAATATGACGTGCCTACTGTAACTAGTGTCTTGAAACTATTTTTCAGGTACGAATTTGTTTAAATTTATTTTTAGATAGAAAAATATTTATTTTTTTTGCAGGGAACTTCCCGATCCGATACTTACTAATGATTTATCTGCTAAGTTTGAAGAAGCAGCGGCAATGCTTCATTGTCGTAGTAAAGTAATGCGTTTTCAGAAGTTAGTGGTGTCTCTTCCCCCTGAAAATTCGACTGTGCTTGGATATGTTATTGTTCATCTTTGCAATATTGTTGAAATGGTAAGCTTGTGTTACTTAAAAGTACATTATTGTATATATTCATCTCTTTAAGGAGGAAAAAAATAAAATGTCGGTGCAAAACTTAGCACAAGCCTTGCATCAGAGTTTACGTATGTCAACGAAGGTCTTGTGTGCCTTAATTAACTTCAAAAGTTACCTCTTCAAGAAGGTAGAAATCGTCAAGTATTACCCGCCTTTGGTATCTGGGATGACGTATCCAGAAGATCCTGAAAGAATTGCTCAGGAACTTTTAAAATTGGAGTCTGCTCTGGACCTTATACATTGGGAAATGCAAAACAATTATTCTTCGAATAATAGACAGGATCAGTTATGGGATTTACAGCGAACCCAGACAGAGTTAAAGGTAATGATGATCATGATCGAATTATTTCCATAATGGATTATTCAGTATTTCAGTATTTTAATGATTGGTAATTATTTGAACAATAATAATAGGCCGGAACTTGATAACCAGCAAACACAATCATAATTGGAACCTTTGTAATATTTAGATAATTGGGTGATTGATTATTTTTCATCCAGGTGATCCCATCAATAGTTATAGATAGTTATTTTATTCTTTAGCGGATGCAAAGAAAAATTGCTAAACAAACAAACGCAGAAGAAGAGGCTCAAGCTCAGCAAATGAACGAGACTCAAGAAACAGAACCTCAGACCAGCATGGGGGCAGAGGTTGAACTTCTTCTGACTGGTTCAGAAAAACTAGTGCAAGCATTCAAAGAATCCTATCGCCCAACCGATGTAAGGCGTTTATTTTCAGATGTGTGTAGTAATGAAGATCTTGTAATGGAAGAAGATTCGGAAACTGAAGATGAGCCAGATAGAGAAACAGCAGGTTCGCGACAAGAAGAACCCGATGAACGCGAAGCCAGCGAGAATGAGAGGGGAGTAGCAGGTTCGTGTCAAGAAGAACCCGAAAAACATGAAGCCAGCGCAAATGAGAGTGGAGATGCGGTAAGGACGATTGTTGGCTTAATACTGAAACTATTTACATTTTCAAATGTGCCAGACCTATCTTACTGCTAAAATACATTTACAATCAGATTTTCCCTAATACTGGGGAAAAAATAGGTTCATTACAAGCATGAAAACAGAAAATTCACATTAATGCATTTTATTTTACTCTACTCTCTACTCTACTCTACTCTCCATATGCTTTATTGTATGAAATTACATGAATTTATTGACAAAGCGATCTCGTTACACCTAATTACCTGATAATATCAATTACATATTACATAAAAAGAAAGACAAATAATCTACAAGAACAGGCCTAAACACATCTGAATATAAAATAGATTGCCCTACAAACAAAACAAAAAAACTTACAAAAAACTAATAAGCAGCAAAAAAACATGAGAGACTAACAAGCTTACAAGATCACAAAGGCAAAATCACAACATTCAAAAATCATTATTATAAAATTCGTCCGAGCTGTAATATGCCATTTTAGGCAAAATACTGTTAAATTTAAGTTTGGAATTTTCTTGTTTCATGCATGCATTGACTGCATAAACTGCAGACAAAATGCCCTATCGTTGTTGCTTATGCCTATGCCTATTTGGGTGATGAAAACATTGATACCATACTTGAAGTTTATTGGCCAGACATTGGATGTAGGTTTCAAAATCTTTTAGGCTTTGCAGAGCTTTCTATTGTCTTGTCCTTAGCGGTAGCTGGTAAAGCTGCCGTCGCTGTTGAGAAGCAAGCGGCAGAGTCTCTGGTATATCTAAGGCAAGCACACGCAATGCTACAATCAAGCCTGTGGCCATGTCATCGGAGTTGCAGCAATTAACCATTGCAGCAGTCTTGAAATTTGATCTCTGCCTGTCATATGGTGGTGGCATAGGTGGTGGCTTAACTTTGATACCAGTTACAGGCGAAGCTGGAGCATTTTCGGTTCTCAAGTCACATTCCAATTTTTTAATTTTGTTCTGGACACTGTCAGTTTCCGGGCAAATGGTTTCAAATTCTTGACGAACAGTTTCAACTTCCTGATGAACAGTGCTCATTTTCCGAAAAACTCTAAATAATCACACAATAAAGCAATAACAACATCGGTTTTCAACTGCTTTCATTTCTCACTCTGACTAATAATAATATTGAATAATAATAATGTGTTCAAGGTTTTAAGTTGTTAAAAACTGTATTTTGATTATACCAAGAGCAAAACTTTTTTTTTAGGATGAACAAGAACTAGATGATAAAGAAAGTGATAACCTGGCTGATGACGAATTACAGAGCCATTTGGATAAATCCAAATCAAGTAGTAGTGTTAACCCATCTGGAATCGAAGGCGCACAATCTTGTAGCCAAGCTGCAGGATCGCCAATAACAATATCTGATTCTACCGAACAGTCCTACTTGACTTTAAGTAGTGCGAGCAGGGATGTGCATATTAGGGCTCATGTGAAGCAAATTCAACTTGTCCAGGAAGTTTTAAAAACTGGCAAAGCTTTATTGCATGACAAAGTGGATAGTCTCAATCTAGCACAAATCCGGAAAGTGGCGAATGATACATCGGAATTTTTTGAAGCCTACACTGGTATTGAAATGCTACTGGAGCAAGTTAAAAACCAGCTATTGGTAGAATTCAAAAATAAATTAATGGCCACTATTCATGAAGCCAATTTGGAAAATTCGGAGATAGAAAGCAAATGTCAAAATCATTGCTGGTATGTTTACGCCAAAGCAAAAAAATCTGCAGATCACTTTGAGAAAGTGCTAGACTTGCTTCAAAAAGAAAATCATATGCTTCTAGTGAATAAGATTGAATTAATCAGAAAAATATTGGAGGAGCGGGAAGATATTTTGAAAATGGAAGCTACTTTTGAAGTTCTTACTTCTTGGCAAAAAAGAGAATGAATGTTTTCTGCAGTAATTCATCTGAACGATATAAATTCAAGATACACGCCCCACAAAAATTATCCTATCACCCATATTATTTATTTAAAAAAAAAGGCCCAAGTTTTTACAGTTTATCATAGATATTAAACAATCATTAGGATTTTTTTCAACCTGTTTCGTTTAATAAACAAATTCCTAAATTTGTTTTCCTGTTTATTTATTACCCAGATCATGTTTATTGAAAATATAAACAAAATACAATTAAAAAAAATTTAAATAGTCACAATATGGGAAAATGATACTGATGTGATAACTGTTGTGGGGGTTTATATTATTTTATAATGTCAGAATATGGCTTTCTAAATTGCCTAGTCAACGATGTTTACATCTTTCTGAAGTTTTTTTACATTCATATTGTGAAAGCGGGGTTTGTGCCATTATTTTTATTATTTTTAACAAATTTTATTATTTCAAGGGGACGAAATACCCTGCGGCAATTATTAAATTATACACTCTATTTGTTTAAAACTTCATAGGTTACATGAATATACCATTATGAACGTTTTGAAGCAAGTATTCATTTTTTTAACAGCCGCAACAACCCATTTTGGCGATCTAATCGACACAGCATGAGGTTGAAGACAGAGTGATATGTACTTCAAAGATTTACCGTTAAAACATTAACTTTTTCTAAACCAAATAACATCACTCGATGTGAAACAAAATCTATTTTTTAAGTATAAGACTACTGTTCCAAATATTATATTATTTTAAGGAATACCTTTACCTGTATATAGGGTGTCTCGAAAGGTTTATTTATGGAGTTCAGTGACGTTCGTGGTTCGCCAAAAATAGTTTTTAAATTTTATCTCGAAAACAAAGCAGCATATGGAAAAAAATGAAGAGACAAAAAAGCTGTATCTTTAAGTGTTTTAAGCAAAAAACATATCCCGATTATGTACAAAAAACCATCCGATATAACCTGTGGCTCGCCCTTGAAATTATTGGTCAACTCTGAGCAGTCCAAAAAATACCCCATAAAGGTGTCGACAAACTATGAAAATTTCAATAAATTTGTCCAACGCATTTCTAAGAATTAATATAAAAATTGTCTTTTTTTTTACAAAGTCTAACACCCTGTATCTGGAAAGCGAAGCATTTCCGGACACATGTTTATTTCAAAAAAAAAACTTGATTCTTACGAGATCTACCATCCCTAGAAGTTTGTAACAAACCTTTCGTGACACCCTGTATATTACCCTATTTGCGTTAACTTCTCATGAAGTTTTTATCACCTTATTATTTAAATGTTCAAGGTTTAGGTTCGTAAGATTTGTATTGCTTTGTTAGGTATTCATTGTTTCAAAGAATATCTCCATAAGTACCTACATAATATTATCCTATTTCTGCTTTATTTTAATTTTATCGAAGATTAACGCCTTTAGAGAAATAAATGCTACATTATTTCAAGGAATTTCTCCCTAGGTACATTTGTCAAAGATACAGAGAGACCAGCGATTTTACCATCTGTGTAGAAAACCAACTGAGAACGCATTCTTTCTTCATTCTTCATGTCTCTAGGTAGGTTTGACAAGTTTGTATTATCCTATATTTGTTAAATTTTAATATCTTTTTTTTGCGTTTTGTTCATTTGCTTTGGTTAGTTTTTATAGTTTTATTATTTTTTAAACTTTAATTTTAAGTTAAGAGTTTTGTATTAGTTGTTCAAGATGATCCCGTAGCATCTTAAACGAAACATATTGATTATAAACTGAAAATATTACCCAATTGGTTCCAGTTTCTCTGATACTGATGCTTACATTTATGTGTTTTTTTTACAGTTTATAATACAGTACAGTTCATCTGTTGTGATTTGTCATCATCCAAAAAAAAAAATGTCCAAATTAAAAATAAATCACATTTTTGAAATCAGTATTTTAATTTGAATTTGAAGGGACCTTTCAGCAATTTACTTTGTTCAGTAAGCAAAATTATCCAAAAAATCCATCTCCGACCTGATGTTTTAAACCAGTGTTAGAAAAATCATAATCAGTTGTACCTACTGCATTCGCCCTTCTCAACATTTTTGTCACAATACTTAAGACACATCAAGCAATATAATAACTATTTTCTGATTGCTATCCAGTATAATGTCATCCTTTATTTTTTATTTGGCTGTCGCGGTGCTGATTTCCTTTCTAAATTCATGACAGCACTGGATGGCAATCAGATAACAGCTCATCTTATATTGCTAAGAATGCAATTAGTGCTGAACGTTTTGATCCAATACTAGAAAAAAAAAGAGTTGGCACAAGGATCTTTTCTTGGACCTCGCTTTTGAATATTTGTAATTGAACTAAAATATGTCATAAAGCACTGTAATATTTATGATTCAATGATACTAGCTGAAGGAACATTTGATTCAATCGTTCTGGATTTACAGTTTAAACAATTTATTGGAAACAGTGAGTAGTTGTGCATGCGAACAAAGTTGATTGATTTTGATTTTCTCTTATTAGACCTATTTATTTTATGAACAAGACAAACAACAACCTCCTTTTTGACTGGCAAAAGGCGGTTACACACGGGCGTGGATGGCTTAATACATGTACATCAACGTGCAAACAACAACGTGCATGGGCGGTTACACACGGACGTGGATGGCTTAATACATATACGTGCATACATCAACGTGCAAACAACAACGTGCATGACGCCTTTGTACAGACGCTCGCACAAAACTGCAGTCTTGCTATTCTTGCTACAGTATTCCGAGTGTTCAAAAACGTGACGATTTTTTGCATAATGGCTGTAACACACGGACGTGGATGTTTGAAAACATGTACCCACATACATGAACGCGCAAACAAAAACATCAATGTGTATGCAAAATTTCGTCGCGTTTTTAAATGTGGAATCGCTAGAAATTTTGTATGCACACTCGGATTACTGTAGCAAGAATAGCAAGACTGCAGTTTTGTGCGAGCGTCTGTACAAACACGACATGCACGTTGTTGTTTGCACGTTGATGTATGGACGTATATGTATCAAGACATCCACGTCCGTGTTTAACCGCCTTATAGGCGGTTACACACGGGCTTGGATGGCTTAATACATATACGTGCATACATCAACGTGCAAACAACAACGTGCATGGCGCTTTTGTACAGACGCTCGCACAAAACTGCAGTCTTGCTATTCTTGCTACGGTGTTCCGAATGTGCATACAAAATTGCACATTCAAAAACGACGATATTTTGCATACACATTGATGTTTTTGTTTGCACGTTCATGTATGTGCGTACATGTTTTCAGACATCAACGTCCGTGTGTAACCGCCTCTTAATACATATACGTGCATACATCAATGTGCAAACAACAACATGCATGTCGCGTTTGTACAGACGCTCGCACAAAACTGCAGTCTTGCTATTCTTGCTACAGTAATCCGAGTGTGCATACAAAATTTCTAGCGATTCCACATTCAAAAACGCGACGGCATTTTGCATACACATTGATGTTTTTGGTTGCGCGTTCATGTATGTGCGTACATGTTTTAAGACATCCACGCTCGTGTGTAACCGCCTTATGTCGCGTTTGTACAGACGCTCGCACAAAACTGCAGTCTTGCTATTCTTGCTACAGTAATCCGAGTGTGCATACAAAATTTCTAGCGATTCCACATACAAAAACGCGACGGTATTTTGCATACGCATTGATGTTTTTGGTTGCGCGTTCATGTATGTGCGTACATGTTTTAAGACATTCACGCCCGTGTGTAACCGCCTAAATGCGGTTAAGGCGGTTACACACGGACGTGGATGTCTGAAAACATGTACACACATACATGAACGCGCAAACAAAAACATCAATGTGTATGCAGAATACCGTCGCGTTTTTGAATGTGCAAACTGTAGAATGACGCTCAAATGAATTCTGGAATCACAAGAAATTTTGTATGCACACTCGGAATACTGTAGCAAGACTGACAGTTTTGTGCGAGCGTCTGTACAAAGGTGACATGCACGTTGTTGTTTGCACGTTGATGTATGCACGTATAGTTGTATTCCTTTCAAGAGCTTGAAACACTCGAGCTACTCGCTCCGGTGTTTAGTCGCCCCTGATTTGCAGGGAATAGATGCGTGGTGTAACAAACACTTTTCGAAAGGAATAAACGTGTGAAGCCCGGGAGCTGTTCCGGAGCTCCTCCTAGGTGTGAAAGGAATACAACTTATATCTATCAAATCATCCACGTCCGTGTGTAACCGCCTTTACACACGGCGTGTGGATGGCTTGATACATATACGCGCATACATCAACGTGCAAACAAAAACGTGCATGACGCCTTTGTACAGACGCTCGCACAAAACTATCAAAACTGTAATCTTGCTATTCTGGCAACAGTGTACCGAGTGTGAGTGTGCATACAAAATTTCTAGCGATTGCACATTCAAAAACGCAACGGCATTTTGCATACACATTGATGTTTTTGTTTGCGCGTTCATCTATGTGCGTACATGTTTTCAGACATTCATGTCCGTGTGTAACCGCCTTAAAGAAGTAACAACAAAACAAAATTACAACTCGGCCCGGATTCTATTTTACGAGTCGAGTCGAATTGTCCGATATGACACTCGATATCGATTACGACAGCTCCGGACGTACCGTGTAAAGCCCGGGACCGGGACACATCTATCATGCATTCTTCCGATCCGACAATCAGGATCCTTATTCTTGGAACAGGTAACAGCGTTCCCAAGGAGAACGAGTGTTCCGCTGCTCCCCTGTTCCAAGAATAAGGACCTTGATTGTATGATCGGAAGAATGCATGATAGATGTGTCCCTGACAATTCGATACGAATTTCGACTCGACTCGTAAAATAGAATCCGGCAGTTTTTTTTTTGGTTTGAATGACAGAAAACAATAACACAACGGCAACTTGTTTTGTCCGTTTGGTCTAAACAGACGTTTCATTCTTTGGAGATAGAGTTTTTGTCTTTGAAAACAGCAACTCAAGTGGCTGGTTTAATTGTGGAACAATTACTACAATATTTATTGCCGATAAAAATAAAAAACATACAGTTAATACAAAAACATTTAATAAAAGTTTCAAATTGTACATTTGAAAGTAATAGGAATTTTTCGAAAACTTTATCATCTATTGCATACATATACGTTTATCAGGAATCAAAACACCATTGAAATCTAAATGATGCAAAAGTTGAGAAGATTAACATACCTAATTTGGACAATTATTTATTGTAAAACAAAATCTTTAAAACAAATTATGAGATTTTATTTAAACAATTAGTATGGAAACACATCAAGCGTACATATTACTGAATAATATGTACTTTGATCACTTAACTCTAGAGAATACATATATATATTTTTTGAAGATTAATGATCATACTGTACTGTACTAGACCAATTTTTACTTATTCTCTAAAGTCTTGGTGTATCCAGCCTTTTCCATATTTGACAAAATGGCTGTGATTTCGTTCAATAGATCTTTTTTCACAGAATCTGGGACCATTGCTCTGGCTTTGGGTGTCAACACTTCAATCAAGTCATCGACTTTGGAATCCTTATTTTCAATAAGAAGTTTCTGGCAAGCTAAACGTACTTCATCTTTCCAGCCACTCTCAACAAGTCTGGTTTCTATCAATTCAGTTACTCTGTAAAAAAGAAAAGGCAAATGAAACCCCCCAAAGGTGATTTGTTTTGGGGTTGTGCACAAGAATAAAAAGGGTATATTTTATTCAAGTCATTTTTAACTGGTTGAAAATTATTAATTTGATAATACCTCTCCAATCCATTATTTACGTCCAAATGGATGTTAACTCTCGATTCATTCTCGTCAGCCATCGTGTTGGAACTACAAAACACCAGAAACCAATAAAAACAATATTTATTTTTCCTGGATAATCCTAGGTTACAATTCCGGATTTAGAGGAAGGATGAAGAATGAAGATTCGAAAAACGGATAAAAAAAAAGGAAGGTGAACATCAAACGTCAATTGAAATTAGAAACGTCAAATGAAATACATTCTACTAGCGCTTTCGACGTTTGCCTCAAAGCTGCACCCGAATGATCAAAAAGCACTCCGAAACGGATCAAATGTTTGGCTTGAAACTGAGCGTTGCTCTCGGCGAGATTCGCGTGTTCGACTGGAGCAATGAAACCCTCTCTAATCTCACACGGAGAGCTCTTTCTTGCTAAGTCAAATGCGATGGATCAAAGAGTTTGATCAAAATAATAGAGTACGTTCGGCTATTGATTTCAAATGGTGGTTTGGATTAAAGTCACTCTCGGAGTACCCCGCAGAGATCTGTGACGTCACCGCCTAGACGAGGAGTACTCTAGGAGCAGTAAAGCCAAAAATGTTATAAATCAAACTTCAAGGGACGAAGTAGACAGAAAATGAATATCTAAATAATAATACCCAAACGTTTGGAAATATTTTGAGTCTGGAAATCATCAGAGTTTCCGTAATTTGTCGATTTCAAAACTAGAGTTTCGATCCTAGATCATCACTAACCAAATGCGCAAGCGTAATTCAATTCAGAAATGATTCTGAATTATGTCCAAACAAACCTAATAAAACAATTAATGTTGAACTCATGACAAATTTTAAGAACAGAACAAAAACAATACGCATGCATTGATGCATTGCGAATGTAAATAAAAAAAAAAAAAACGTTCTCTTTGGGAGTTACTCCGAATGACTCTGAACGAATACCACCGGACCTTGCGACTCTCAAATGGGACGCAGCTTAGCAAAGCGTGACCCTTCCAACGAACATTGGATGACTCGCTCAATCTGAAGAGGCAAGACAACATTAGTTGTATTCCTTTCAAGAGTTTGAAACACTCGAGCTACTCGCTCCGGTGTTTAGTAGCCCCTGATTTGCAGGGAACAGATGCGTGGTGCAACAAACACTTTTCGAAAGGAATGAGCGCGTGAAGCCCCGGAGCTGTTCCGGAGCTCCTCCTAGATGTGAAAGGAATACAACTATTGTGAGTCCGAACATTTTTTTGGTAGTGTACTCAGCACCACACTTGCCATTTTGAAAAGTTGTCCCTAGGGGCGAGTTCAGGAATGACACACCCAGTGTGAGTGTGACACCGGTGCGACGCCCTAGCTGTTCAAAAATGCAAGACGGTGCTATGGGCCCAATGGCCAATTGTCAATTCAGGCACACCCATTATAGGCGATTTCGGCAAGCTTTGGTACATGGTTTGGTACCCTGTTTGGTCTGTCAAATGCATACCAAACAATTTCGGATACGAAAATGATGTCGTCACCGTGACTTTGGTATCCTTTTTGGTCTGTCAAATAGGATACCGTGGTCAGCAGCACGGTTCTTCTATTTGGTATAGTGCTATCTACGTCTATTTTCGTTTTGTCCTGCTCTGCGGGAAATGTAAATAAATGGAAGTTCATTAGAATTTGAATAATTTGAAATTTTTAACAAATATGTTTGTTTTTTCGCCTTCATCTTCCTGTTTTCTCGTATGTTTTGACTGCCAAATAATGTTTGACGATCATTTGAAAAATGGCTTTGAACGACAGATATGGGGTAACTTTTATGCTGGATGGATTATGGAATAAGCTTTAAATTCACAGAAAACGCTGAGTTAGCCAATAGGTTACTCAAACTCAAAAGTACTGTCTAGACAGTGCTGATTAGTGATTATAGATTTTAGTCAGTGCAGTCAGTATCTAGTCGCTCCCGAAACTAGAAGAACAAAGTTAGGTTAAGGCTCGTCTCTTCCCCTCTCTCATGACCTACCAAACGAATTCGGAACAAAATGGTATCTTACGTCATTACTATGACGTTGCAGGTACCAATTGGTTAACCAAATGGTATACCAAGCAAAGCTTGCCGAAATCGCCTAAAATCGCACTCGCACCCTGTGCGTTATTTCTGAACTCGGCCCAGTTGTAATAAAACCGTCACCCGGAGACAGATGACATAAGAAGAAAGTTCTCGTTTTGTGGTTCTCGTCTCGTGACCCTAACCTTGAATGTGCATGTTTGATGTTTGGGTTTTTTTATTTGTTTTGTGTTTGTAAAGCAGAAAGCATACTCAATCTTTTGTTCTTAAATGCTCTTCGTCGTTGACCGCCATAATAGGTACATGTGCCCGAGCTATCCATCTAGTTCTAACACTATCTTATATCATCATACCATACCAAGCTCAAGGAATAAGCTGTGGAATAAGCCCCATTGAGTAAGAATAGTTGTTTATTAATTTTCAATGCTGTTTACTGAATGTGATTCACATTTTGTTTTTATTTTTTTGTGCCTGCTAGTTGGGTGGTTCCCATTTTTTAGAATCTTGGTTAGAATTTATCTCATTTGTTTCAATAAGTTTACTGCCAAAGATAATAGGCCTGTTCGCACAGCAATCACAAACCAGTCAGAGCGCATTTCATTGGTTGAAAACAATCAGAAACAGTCAGAAAACTAGTTTCAACCAATGAGATTTACTCTGACTGGTTTGTGATTTCTCTGCGAACAGACCTAATTATTTGCGGAGCCTTTTCAATGAGGTGTTAAATACTCAAATATTAGGTCTGTTCCAACACAGCAGGAAGCCGTACAATGTACCATCACGATTCTGCGCAAAGCGTAAAATTTGTGTGTAGAAACCAAAATTCGTTCACTGAGTGGTTTCAAAACCGTTCATGGGACGGTTTTTGACGTGTTGGAACAGACCTATTGAGTGCAGGTGATTCTGTATCCTCCGCCGGTTAACCTGTCAAGAATTTATGAATCACTTTTCTGCAAAAAATATATTTCAACTTTAATCATGGTCATTTTGTTGAAAAGAAAAAAAAATGAAGGAAAAGACCAATAGGGCCGAACGCACAAGGCTTTCGGGTGTGATTTTTTGGCTCAATACTCAGGACACAGTCTCCAATCAGCTCTGAAAAAATCACCTCCTGAAATTTTTTGAAAAACCCATATATTCACTGGACTATTAGTTGTATTCCTTTCACACCTAGGAGGAGCTCCGGAACAGCACCGCGGTGTTACGCGCTTCTTCCTGTCAAAATGTGTTTGTTGCACCTGAAGTGCTCAGCCAGTGCATCTGTTCCAATAATCAAATCAAATCGGGGTCGACTATCACCGGAGCAAGTAGCTCTAGTGTTCTAAACTCTTGAAAGGAATACAACTATTATTTGGAGGCATTTTGAGGGGATTAAAAAAATAATTAGTTTTATTTTTATTATAAACAAAACCTTCAAAGAGTACACTTATAACAGATATACACCATTGGACAAAAGTAGAGCGACAAAGTTCTGTTTTGTTCGTTTTTGAAATGAGATAATGGCTGGGTCGATTTTTGGCTGTGATAAAATACTATCCTTACACTGAAAATTAGTTATATTGCACATTTTGGTTTACTTCAAATCAGTTTAAGAATGGCAAATAATATTGATTATAAATATTGATAAGAACACCCTCATATCTACACTTTCTGAAGTAGTGTACCTTTGCTAATGTTTGATGCAACTTTTGCAGGTGCGATTAGATATACAGAAAATATCTAGTATAACATGGATTTCTTGGAGACCTTCGAGCATTATTCTAATGCTCTTGGCAATCGTCATGTTGTTACGCTATTATGGAAAGAAATAACTCATGGAGAAAGAGCCGGTGATAGCTTGGATACAATAATTGATTACAGTTTTCATCATCCTATTGACCTCACCTCATTTCTTGAGGAACTTCATGAAAAATTTGAAGAATCTATGAAAGAGGATCTCAGAGCCATATCAGGAAGCCTTAAAGCCTACATGCTTACATTTTTATATTATTGCATGGGTACTGATCATATCACTGTTCCACACAGATGTAGGCTGCTCGCCGCTGAATTGTATGCTAGAATGATTACAATTCCTTCGGGAATCGGAATAGTATTCTATGAGAGAAATCTTTTGTTAATGGCATTGATGAATATTAATTCAATTGCTAAAAATGTCTCCTGTCCAACAGATCATGTAATAGTGATTTTGAAACTTTTACATAAGTTTTTGCTAGGATACGATGATGCAACAGTTTATAATATTAAAGCTTTTGCTAATACCTATGCCAATATTATCAAAGTTAGAGGTATTAAAGGAGATATAAAACAATGTAAGTACCATATTAATGATTTAAATGATATGATCATGCTTGGGAATAAATTTTTTGGAATATTTTGTTTTTTAGAATGTACTTATTCCTGGAAAATGATATCCCTTATTTCCTGTACGTCATAATTATTATTATTACTTATGAGTTTTGTTATTTCAGGTAATGACCCCATAACAAAATTTTGTCTTAATGGAATAAAAGACTTGGTATCAGTAAAAGAGCTTCCAAAGCAATTAAGTGGTATAATGGAAAGCCTTCTAAGATGCTTATGTCGTGATAAAAATGATGACAGGATTGCGCAAGGCCGAAGAATACTTGCAGTTAATACCACAAAACAATTTGTAGAATACTATCTATTGGTTGAAGTTGACCCAAATAAGTCTCAATATTTTTTGGATTCCTTATTTTCTATATTTGGCAATGAAGATTTCGATCTAGTTGAGGTGATAAAATTGTTCGCTTTTGTCAGGATAATAGAAAAATTTTATTATGAACAATTTACTATAAATAATATTTGTAGGAATGTGTCGAAATCATCAATCTGTTGAATCAGCAACTTTACAAAGAATTGTTAAGAAGGATTCCAAATTATTTAGAATCCATAAACCATGAAAAGTATTATGACAATCTAATGGAACTTATTTATCATATGTTCAAAAATCCTCACCCAAAAAAATTTCCAAAACTCGACGTTTTATTTCTTTTATGCTTCAAATCAATTTTAATAAAGTTTCTGAACAAAAAGAAACTGCTGGCCTACAGAAGCATGGAAATGGTTGGTAAAATATGTCTGTTGAACAATAGTTACATGCTTGATAGCATTTTTAAAGTAAGAACTCAATTTTTTTCCCCTTTTCAGATAATATATCTAATGCATGACTATTTCAGTTAGTGAATGAGACTGAACAGTTTGTGAACTTGGATTTGAACAGTGTGTTCAAGGCAATGATTAAACTTTTGAAAGACCCCTATACAGCAACTCCCACAAGAGTCAAGCACTTACTTAACTTTGCGTCAACAATACTTAGAAAAACTGATCATGTTGATCAAGGCTTATCATCTCAACTTATTCATTTAATTTGCAAAGACGGTTGTCCATACAGTATTAAGGAACTGTTAAAACCTTTACATGAATTGTATGTTCATTTGTCTAATAAATGTAAACTTGAAGTTAGTACTGCTATTATGAGAGTTTTTGTTAAAATGGCAATGCATATGGATGCTACAGCTTCTGTATTTTTGCATGTAAGTAGGAAAACATTTTTGAAAGTCGAATTTTTACCCTTGCCATGACTTCTGTCAACTTTACTATTTCTTTCAGCATTTATACAAATATTGTGTATCACCTTCAATCGTTAATGGAGAAACCCACGGTCCGCATGTATATTCAAACTTGTTGTTTTCTGATGAGTTTGATTATAAACTTCTTTTGGGCAAATGTGTTAACTTCATTCAGTAAGTGGAGTGTAATTAATAATAATTGTGTGAGCTATTAAAATTCAACTTCTTTGTAGCGTTGAGGATGTGCACCAAATAATAGCAAACTTCAACCACAGGCACAGTGGATATCCAGTCTTATTGGATTGTTTATTAGAATTTGTTGAGTATAGGGAGTTTCGTGTATTAACAGACTACATTATTGATAATTATGATGATGTAAGCTAATGGTTAGTTGAGTTTAATGCCTATTTTTAGTAAATACATTTCAGTTGGGTTTTCACACTTCAACGCTTCACTTGCTACATGCATATAACAGAATTTTAGGAAACATGGATGAATACTTCCTAGAAGATGTTGACAAATTTCTGATTTTACGGGAAAAGATTTGGATTTCATTAATAAAACAAACATGTGGGTTGAGAAACATAAGAATCTGTTTTGTTTTGATTGATACGTTGAAAGATCTTGTTGAAGAGGAGGATGAAGAACATCGGAAGAATAATGTTTTGTCTATAGCCAGTGCAATGGCATTCAAGGCTTTCTCTGAACAAGCCTATTATGACGGATCAGTTTTATATTTGACAGAATTTGCTATTGCATTGAAAAAAGAACCACCCCCTAATTTTATGGCTTTATTCGAGAGAATGGTCTATGAGAGAAGTTCCTTGAACTGTAAGTATTAAGTATCTGCTGTGAAAAGGTGAAGCCTTTAAATTTGGAAAGTCGAAATACTATTTTCAAGGCACAATAGTAAAATCAGCAAAACCTTGTAATTAGAAGAAAAAAAAAAAAAGTGACAAGTTTACTATTACCATGCCAAATTAGTTTCTTATTTTTAAATTTAATTATAACATTAATTTCTTCATTTTTATTTTAGTATTAAAAGAGCACTTAGATATGTTGATTCAACTAATATCATTGTTGGGGACTATCGCATTGATGAATAGACCAAGGGTTCCTGTAGCTGTCAAACTATGTCAAGAGGCATTTAAAGTATACGATCCATTTGTTCGGATAATAGCAGTGAAGACTTATTATACTATTGCTACTGAGTAAGTACAGTATCCGCCAAAATAAACAGTACCGAACATACAAATTAGTTTCAAAAAAAGCTTTATTAATTCCAAGAAAATACAAAGATGATTTTATGCTATGAACTAGCTTATCTTATAATAATATAAATCTACCCTAAAGAACCCAAAATATGGCTCCTTGAAATATTTCAACTTAAATTATACATAGTTTGGCACATTGTTTATCACACTCAGAAATCACAGGACTTATCATTATACATATATACTTTATTTTTTTCCAAGATAGATTTTGACATTGTCAACTTTGAAAACAAACTTTGAAAACAATACCGCTTGGCCCTGATTAGTCGCAAAATGAGGTGTCCCTACAGGTTGACATCAGTTTTACAATGCAACACCTGCAAATGGCATCTTTCAACCAATAAGCGGCATTGCTTATGTTTCAAAGTTGACAATGTCAGATTCTATCTTGGGAAAAAATAAAGTGTAGGTGATATACTGTACAGGTTCTAGATATATACATATATTAGGAAATACATATTATATGTATTTTGTGTTATTTTAATGTTCTACAATACAAGTTAATATAATATAGTGTTTCAGTCTTTTTTTAAGTAGAGTTTTACTGCGGATTGACTTCAAATCCAAAGGCAAGTGGTTGTACAATTTTATTCCCTCACAAAATATTGACTTTTGGCCAGTGTTCGACTTAATTTTTGGACGATACAAATTGTGTCTTTGGCGAGTTTGATGGTTATGCACTTCATTTACATTTAAAAATTTGATTTGGGACCTCTTATCTTTCATGATAATATAATGTGTGGACAATAGTATCTTAAATCTATAAATACATGGTAACTGGTAAGTAGACGTATTTCTTTGAGGAGGTGAAAGTAGAGCCTATTTGCTACCGATTGAACATCATCTACCTCTATACCATTCTCAACAGTTTTAGAGATATTTATTATTTTTTAATTTCCAAGAAATTCGCTTCTCTGTACGGTAAATATTCAAAATTAAGGAAAATAATAAAAGCAATTTTAAATATCGCTTTTTAAATGATAAGCTGACACACTAACACAAATATCAGCATTGGAAAGTATTGAAACAATAATGTTAACTAGTAAATTATTTCGGTTTAAACTTGACTTTGCTTGTAAAATTACAAACTGATGGTTACTTTATGTCTAAAAATTTCGAAAATTTCATAGTACATCAAGCGTACAAATTATAAATAAAAGTTCTCGATATTATTGTCTTCAGAATAAGGCACAATATTTCATAATTAGTCTTTTGTTTTATTATTAAATAAATAAGTTTTATTTGTCAGAGCTACCAATATTAAGAAAAAATTATTCAATTTGTTTTTAATACCAAGTGTTACAATAGAAATGTTGTCAAATATTGGTCTTAAGATTTACCCAAATTAGGTACGTTCCTTATTATTTCGTTAATTTTAAGTATTTACCTCCCAAAAAAGTGAATTTCTTAAAAATAAAAATAAAAAAAATCTCCAAATCCGTTGAGAATGGTATAGAGGTAAATGATGTTTAATCGGTAGCAAATGGGCTCTACTTTCACCTCCTCAAAGGAATACGTCCACTTACCAGTCACCCTATATATTTCACATTAAGCATTTTTTTTGAGGAGTATAGCTGTTGGGTAGGGAAGCGCCTTGGCAGTCGATAAATGTTTTTGATGCCTTTATTCTGGAGGGTCTGCAATGGTTTTAAAAGAGAATTTCCAGCAGTTCCCCAGACCGAAATTAAATAATGTAAATGACTATATATGTGAGCATAATAAAGTTTCTTGCGTAAAGCTAGCCTCAAGAGGTATCCAACTCTATACAAGATTCGTACGAAGGATGCAATTTTTTTCCTTACTCGCTCTATGTGATTTGCCCATGACAATGTACTGTCTATAATGAGTCCCAAATATTTTACTGTGTAAGCATTCTTTAGTATTGAGTTCCAAACATTATGTCATGATTATTGTTTAAATTTCTTTTACTTATTATCATATATGATGACTTTTTAATATTGAGCGTTAATTTATGCGACATTAACCAATCATTCACTACTCCTAGATCCCTAGCAATGCCCGCTTTAATAGAATTGGTGTCCTTTCCACAACAATTCGACTGTGCCACCCAAGTTCAATTTACAAATAGAGGTCACATATATCAAAAACAACATAGGCCCCAACACTGACCCCTGAGGCACCCCACATTCAATATCCTGCAGAGAGTTTTCAACACCATTGATGCTTACCATCTGCCTTCTATTCGCTACATAGCTTCGAAACCAAAGCAAAGGCACGCCCCTCACTCCAGCTTGCTCCATTTTTACCAACAGTATGTTATGGTCTACTGTGTCAAAGGCTTTTTGTAAATCAAGAGACACTAAGGTGCATACTTGACCACTATCTATTTTTAACTGTATATCTGAAATGAAATCTATAACTGCTGTCTCCGTGTCTCTGTCCTTACGAAAGCCATATTGACTTCCACTCAACAATTTATTATCATTCAAAAATACCTGCAACCTTTGATTGACGCATATCTCCACAATCTTGGATAACACAGGCAAAACTGATACAGGTCTATAATTTGAAACTTCGCTTCTGTCACCGTCTTTGAACAAAGGTCTGACTCTGGCAATCTTCAACTTACTGGGCACCTCACCAGCTTCGAATGAAAGGTCCATAATTTTCGTCAGAATCACTGCCGATTCGTGCTTGAGCTTAAACACACTGTCGACAGTGTTTAACTTGTATAGTTAATGCGTATGTTTAAAATGTACATCAGAGCGACGCCAAGCTTCATAACGATTCTGCATTGAACGTATTTATTGAGAGTGGTTGCTGAAATTTTTCTCAGACTTGTTTCAAACTTGAGCCTTAATTCCTTCCAACTCCGTATGACCGGAAATATTGCTCTACTAAGAAAACTTTCTCTTCAGTTGGAAGATACATAATGTCGATGATTTCAACCTTAACTTAATGTCAACCTGTTAACTAATGCCAAGTAAGCCAAATATGATAAATGCAACTTGCATGCGCAATTCCTCAGAGCTCTAGATTTCGGTACTGTTTATTTTGGCGGACACCGTAATTGCTTTATCAAATAATATCAATCGGATCGTAAAATGACGACGTGAACTTGGTTACAACGCATAATTGAATATTTATCCTCTTTACAGAATAACACACGAGTTCCCAGAAATAATAGCGTTTTGCTTCAGCCAAGTCAGTTCATCAGACACCTCATTGGCCAAAGTATGTCTAACAATTTTAGAAGAACTGATTAATAATAACTACATTTCTCTAAATGATTACGACTTCATGAGGTTTACACATAGACTTGCTTCGATTAATCTTGGTCCATTTATGAAACATCTGTTAACTCAGAGATTTCTGGTGTCAAATAAGCATGATATTGGTCGCTTCTTCATGCATACTTTGATTTATATTAGTGGATATGATAAGGTAGCAGTAAATGCAAATATTTATTAAGTATTAGTTTTGATATGCATGTCTATTGTAGTTGGATAACTATCCAATAGATGTTAGTTATAGATATAATTTAGCCACTATGAGAAGTCTGATGGATGGTCCAAATGAGCTAATCCAATTTCTATTTGGTTCTCTACAAGTTAAAGCTAAATTTAATGTTTTACGAGAAATGAGCTTCATATTTGGTGAGTTAGTAGTCTAGTTTTTCTCTTCAACCAATTTCAATATTTAAGATCCATGTTTCAGACTCCATGGTAACTGGAATATGTAGAGTAAACGATGAGTTTTTCATTTATTTCCGGTTTGCTTTATATACTTTCAAAGTAATGGCAGAAAAACCAACTTATAATTATAACTCTGGACTTTATGGCCAAGTTTGCCGTTTCATTGATAAGAGTATTTTGAATAACGAACCGATATCGAGGAATCTAACATTTTATGGCGTAAGAAATCTGAATTAAGTAGAATGAATTATTTTGATATTTTTTAATTATTTTATTAAGGAATTTGAATCAGATCTGAAAAAGTGTACAAGCACATTACTTGCCTTGCTAAATCACGTATATAATGACTCACGTTTGGATGAATATTTGTTGGAAACTTTTGACACTGTTGCTTGTTGGATTACACATTTCAAAAATGAGGTACACATATGAACAACAATTTGACAATATCTATTAATTTTTTTTCATTTTTAGTTGGTCCAGTATGTCCAGTATGAGAAGTTTAAAGAGTTTAATCATCCTATGGGCAGAATGATTCTCATGTTTAAGGCTCTCAAACCTAGATTGGTACATTTTATTGATTCTCGCGAAAGGTCAGATTTTTTTGTTGCCTGATTTTTTCTGCAAAAAAAAGAAAATATTTTTTTAACGTTCGTTAGTTAGTTATTTGATAATCGTTTTAATTATCCGTGTGGATCGTTCAAAATAATCCACCAGGAAAGCTTTGAGCAACGAATTGAAATTGAAAGAATTGCTACAGATGAGAAAGCCTCCCTACATTAATACATCACATACATACAAATTGTGTGTGTCAGTTATAGTTTGTATTTCTTGTCAGCTATTGTTTTGTATTTCTTGTCAGTAATTGTTTTGTATTTCTTGTCAGTTATTGTTTGTATTTTTTTGTCGAATGTAGCATTTGCAATAGCTAGATTTCTGTTCGACATGTATAAATAACCTATCAAATGCGGATACTTTAAACACTCGATAATGAGTTGAATCAGTTTCGAGTTAAACTAGTTTTAAATGTGTATTTTTAGCTACATTTAATAAATGTTTTGTTCTTGTCTCCCTAGGATTTTGGCATTTTGTTGAGGTATGTATGTATGTATGTATGTATGTATGTATGTATGTATGTATTATTATTTGTCCAAGTCAGTATCTTTAGTGGGTGCAGAATAAAAAATGTTTTGAGAATTTCATTTGCGTGTTTATATTATAGTTGATTGAACCCCTTTTATTTTCAGATGAGTCGACCTGTGCAGAAAAGTTGGTTGCCTTAATTATGTGATTTCAATTTCATTATTTTTATATAGGTACCTTTATTTCAATGACTCTATGAACAGTCAGCCAATGAAGTAAAGTCCTGTAACATTTAAATATAAATATTTTTCAATTATCTACAGCTGATAAACTATAGAGCTAATGTCAGTCAAAAAAATACCTAATATTTTTCAAAAAAAAAAAATTATCTCGGTTTTTATAGATGGATGAATCTTTAATTATTTATTGGCTGACTGGACTTTGGCTAACTGTTAATAATGGATTCAATAATATAAGCTCTCTCATATTTATTTTATTTATTTTGATGTAAATGTACCACCATTGTAAAGTGTAAATCTTTCACATTCTGCTGTGTTTTCTTAAACAATTTCTTTCAAGATGCTTTCAGTTTCGCTTTTATTCTTTGAAATTTTCACCACTAAAAAGTGTGAAAAATCATCCAGTGTAACTTAAAAGTATCTTCCTCCATTTACAGTGCTTGAAATTATGGATCCACAATTAATAATATTGTTACAACACAACCTGCCTGTTTTACAGGGGCGACATGGGGGTTGATGGACAGAAACTCGTTTAAGTAGTATAGAAAGTAGATCAAATCAAATCAAATCAAAATTTGCTTTATTATCGAAGATATACAATCTTATTGACAAAGCCAAACCTAAATCTATAAACACCACAATGACAAGCCTTAAAACTAGTTATATAAATGGCAATAAAATAAAAATCGATAAAAAAATATAACGTTTGCATAAACTTAAAAAACAAACTGATTAAAATATAAATACACGGTCAACATTGAAATAGAGAGAATGCGAAAAATCAGTCATAAAAACAAAAATTAAACAATAAAACCAAAAAACAACCAAGCAGTGACCCAAGGTAGTGACTCAAAGGCCGGATGAAAAGGAACAACGATTGCCAATTTCAAAAAAGGACGAAATTCGCCTCTCTCAAATGAAAGGATTATACTTTCAGGCAACGTCAATGAAGCACCATCAGGAAGACAACGGAGTATTTTGATAGACATACCATCCCAGCCAAAAGCATTTGACTTCCCAATATCTGAGAAGATTCTCCGAAGCTCAGTGTACTTATTAGGATTATGAACATTCCTTAAAAAATGTTAAAAATCATGAGAGGGGGACAACCTATGAGAAATCCTGGAAGCAATTGAGCAGTAATAAGTGTTAAGTTTGTTAGATGATAAGGATGATAAACTAGAGTCAGCCATATTGGGGTTGTATTTGCCTTGTGTCCCTCTGACTATTGTCACTTTCCGAAAGCCTGCCCCTATAATACACTTGATTTGCCAGTTTAATCACTTGTCTATATATTGATCTATATCTATTGAAAAACGAAACAAAGAACAAACTATTCATGTAATACTTTCTTAAGTAGTGTAGGCAGCGCATATTGCCACTAGAAACCTTAAGGCCTTTTGTTATCCAGGGCTTTTTTTTCTTATTTTTTAAAGTCTTTATTGGAAAAGATGTATTGAAACAGTTTGCAAGAACTGTTTGAAAAGTATATAGCGGATTTGCAGAATGCAAAACACCAGCACAATTAATTGCTTGGCTACTTTGCACAAATCTTTGAAAATTTTTCCTTGTAAACAATCTTCCTTTTCCTAGCGTTTTAGAACAAATCCTAACTTTCAGTCTTAAGTCTACAAAAATTGCTTCATGATCAGTTAAACCAGCATTGATCACCTGGCATTCCACTTCACTCTAAGGCAAATTACAACATAAATAGTCCAATAAGGTAGCTGAGTGCGAAGTTATCCTGGTAGGAGCTTCAACGAACATATTCAGACCAAAATTCTGCAAGAAGCCATCCAGCCCTCGAACATATCTATCGGATACATCCAGGAAATTCAAATTCAAGTCCCCACACAGCAAGATTGTAGACTTAAGAGGCAGCTGAGACAACAGTGTTTCAGCTTTTGACAAAAAGTCGTCCTTATCGCCTGATGGAGATCTGTACAAACACAAAATATAGAAATTCCAACCTGAGCAATACACCAACGAAAATTCAAAGATAGATATATATTTGCCCAATATGTCTCTTACAGATCCTTTAACCCTACAGCATGCATGACCCTTTCTTAGGGGGCCACACATCAACGCTGCCTGGGGGACTATCGGTCTATTCGTTACACAACTGTGCCTAGTGACCCTTATGCCTTGTCCAGAGGAGCTTTCCCAACTAGAGGTACCGGCGCTGGACAACGATACCCAGAGTGGCTTTCCCAACTGGAGGTACAGGCACTAGAAAGACTTGATTCCAGAGGAGCTTTTCCAACTAGAGTTACTGGCGCTAGTTCAAGTCCACAAATCGCATTTGCATGTTGTTCATTCTTCATTATTTAAAAACTGAGATCTTGTGGGTTTTCCTTCAACAGAAGTTGAACAAATTTTGTCAAGATGTTTTACTCCAAGTTACAGCATTGCATCATCATCAGCATGGCCCAATCTTTTGTGGAAAATTTCGGCATCATCAACTGTGACAATGCATCATCCTTTTTAAATTATCGATTTTTTTACAAAATTAGAACATACACTACAGTCCGTTTTTGGTTTCACAGTTTCACATGTCATCAAGGCATGTCGTGCAGTAGACTTGGATGTTGTTCTGTAAGCTGATAATTGACGGTGAATAGTATTTTCTGATGTCCCTAATAATTTGGATCAAAAAAAGAATCTTTACCAGAAAATAATCGGTTGTCAATCTTTAGGATATTAGGTTATTATCTGTGTTCCAAAGTAAATAAATAAACAAATAAAATCATAATATTGGTGTTTTATTAAACTAATAAAATAAGGAATAAATATTGACCTCTACTACATTTTTTCTTCATTAGTATCAAACACTCAAATCACACTTCATTGCCATATTGCTTCCATTTCAATTTTAATTTATATACAGTTTTTTTTTTAAATTCGAATTATATGTCCCATAAAACCATTACTAGGTTTAACGTCCGCTTAATTTTAAAATGTATATTCCTTGCTTCAGAAAATAAAAACCGAATGAGGTTGAAAGTAATTTCTAAATAAATAAATTAATACTAGATGTATTGGTTAAATATTATTGACAATATTAAGTTTGAAAACAACCAAATACAAGAACAAAAATTAAAATTCACTATGGTATAATTCTGGCACAGTTGATAACCCGATTACAAAGTATAAGTACGCTTAGCTGAAGGTTTATTAACATGGAATGTATAAATAATAAAATTCCTCTTCAAAGTCTTAACAATTCTCATAAGTACCCTAATATTGTAGCGAGATCACTTACGAGAACAAAAATATAATTTACATTTGCATTGATATTACGAAGATGACGCAACTAAATTATTGTTCTTTGAAGACAAACTAATGCAAGAAAAGTTGCTTTTGCAAAAATATCTGTGTGCAAAAAGTTTTGACCTGTGTTCTGCTACATCAAATTTATTATAAAGCAAAAACCAAACTGCTGATTGTTTAAGTAAATTGCCATGCGCCTTAAAAGACTAACTATTTTCAACTTATCTCGGCTACAGAATGGAGATTGAACCAATACCGCGGAGATTTTAATCCACCAATTAATGATAACAGGGCAACGAAAAAAAAACTATCTGCAAATGATATCAGACCTTTTCATGTTAGTGACAGAACGTCAAATCGTTTGGTTTCAATCAGTTTTTTCTAGTTGAAAAAATGATGATACACCAGCTGGGCAAAAGCTAATAGCCAACGTTTAGAAAGATGTTGGATGCAAATATGTAAAACATAATAAAATATAGAATTTGCTTTCTATTTCTATATATCAATCAATATATTGAAGCATGAAAAGCGAATCCACTGTGTAATATAAACCTAATGTTCTGGATGCAACCCATTGGGTGTTTATAAAACAGTTCCATCATCTAGGTAAGCAGTTACATTGAAAGGTCTAATACAATTTGTCACTAGTTTTTCCCAAGCTTAGACATCATCAGTTGCTGGATTTGAAATCCTCACGGTATTAGTTTAATCTCCATTTTGTAGCGTAGATTAGATGAAAATAGTTAGCTTTAATTCTCCTGCTTGTTGTTAGGCTTGATGTGCCTGAGCTCAATACCGTTTCCATCTTAATCGATTGCTCGATGATACCCGAAATAGGAAAGAACTAGTAATCAATGGAATTACACATTTTAATGAAGCTCCCTTATAACTGGATATTCAACTTTATGTATATATGTTAACCAGAAGGGCTATGATGTATCAAAATGCAGTGTCTTTGGTCAACAGTTTGGTTTTTGGAATTAAATTTAGAAAAATAGAAGTAAATTGTTATACAATGCAGGCTACATACTATTTTAAATATTAAGTGTTTATTTTTATGTAAGATGCAGTCTTCTATGCAATTTTCTATTTAGGATGGCAAAACACTCATTATAGGTAAATGTTTTGCAGCTTAATACTGACAAGGATGTGGAAATCTAATTACGTTGCTGGATAATTTTATATATCAAGACTGGTTTCTAGTCCAAGAAAAATTAGTTTGGATAAATAAATTGATCCAAAGATTCCTAAACACACTTATCAGTAAAATGCCGCATACTACATAATTAAAAAGTGTTTGAATTAAGGTTTTTATTGTAAAATTATAAATCTCAAACTTTTTCTAAAACTAAAATTTGTGTAAAATTTAAAGCCAAGTATGAAATAATGCAATTTCAAACTTTTAAACGATATGTGTATTGTAGAAGTATTTTTGTTACCTATCTAATAAAATTTGGATTGTATCTATGTCAATAACTGAACCTTCTAGTAAAATTTGCTACCAATTCGACTATCTATGAGTATTTCAGTAAAAATTGTTCCAAATATTGTTCAAACTTGGGACGTCTCTATATTATTAGCAACAACGGTTTTTTTTTTCATGCTTTTTTGAAATTTAACTATTGAGCGGCCGGTTTACATCTAAAACTGCTCAAATCAATTTTATGGATCGAATATATTTACAAGGACAGGTCCCTGAGTGTGCAGACATTATAATCTGTTCCTTAATAGTTATGTATTCGTTATTGTATTTAGAATTTGTGTTGTGGTTCCTTATATTAGTTTCTGTTTTGATAATTTTTAATTATTAGTTTATTTAATTTATTATCATTTTCAAATAAGTGAGAAAAAAAATACCATTCAACTGAATGTCTATTATTACTTGGGTATTGATTGAAATCTTTGTTAAGAAAAATACCAAAATAAGCGTAATAAGACTTTTACACAATTGCCTCTTGAATTTAAATAGTAATAACTGAAAAAAATGTTGTTTGTACTCCCACACAAGAGGAAACTATAATAATTGTATAACATAGTACATTGCATAATATCAATACCTAAAATTATTGTTTTTTTTTTCTTTTAAATTTTTTTATAGCTACCATTAAATGCTAAAATAAAAACTATTTAAGTAACTTAAAAAAGGAAGGAATAAAATAAAATTATAGTAGATACTTATATCATTGCACTAGGTGTGACGTTTTTTCAGATCAATATCGCTATCATTGTCGACAGTTTCATTTTTCTCCAAAGTTAGTGAGGTTTCAGCTACATGCGCTTCCAGAGCTTCTTTAACCAGCCTCAAGGTTTTTGGTGAATTTGGTGGTGGAAACTCATGCGATGTCACCGAACTGGTGTTTCTGGAATGGGCACGAGAATGTGCTTTGCTATCTATTGCAAAAACTGAAAATAAAAATTTAGATTAGAACTATGGTATAAATATTTTTGTACATCAATTATGACAAAGAATTGATATACCATATGTCCCACTAAGGTCGGCGAGGTACCCCGTAAAGTTTATGGTTTCCATAATATCTTACCTCGCCGACCTTACTGAGACACCCAATACTTACGCTTATCTAGGCTAATAATTGATCCAACAATTTCATTAGTAGACATGGCTTTATCTTCATCGAGCACATTTCTCCTGCGTACCAGCCACCAGTCAAGCAAAAATATTCCTAAGGCAAGGATTTTGATGCCTGCGCACAATCCGACGTATCTGTAGCGGAACTGCTCAATGTCATAAAGGAGGCATCTTCCTAAGATATAAATTCAATTGTAGAATGTCGTTTTGTCTATAATCTTTATAAGTTAACTAACCTCCTTTTGAACCACAAGTACTTTTCCAAAGTAAGCAGGTGGAGTCGATGAGATTCCCAAAAAGTATTGGTGCTGGAATGTACCCAAACAACCGAAATATCACAAACTGCATGCCTAGAGCGAATGATCTTTCTTCTTCACTTACAGACCTAAATGAACAATGACTTGATAATGCACACATCTAATGGGTCAATCGATTATTACCTTAATACTATCATCAATAAAGGCATCTGCGTGATTGCCACGATAAACGTCATAAAAAATAGTAATATCAAAAATGGATAAATGGTATGACATTGCGAAATGCATGGTCCTGCCGTAGCTACAGGCACTATAGTTACCTCTGAGTAATCACTCTCAAGTGGGGAAGCGTATTTTATGGAAGAACCATTTTTTAAGCTCATGTTTCCGTGAATACCTAAAAATCAAAATTATGTCATGAATTTACAAAAAATAAACCCATCCTTGTGAATACATGAATCGTTAATCTGACAACATTTGATAAACACATAGGAAGCTGTGACATAGGTATACTTACAGGCACAGTTGGTATAATTAGAGCTCAAAATAGAAGTACAGCCTGCATGACAAGGGCTAAAATATGTTAGTCCGTTGTTTCCACAGACAGGTTCAACGTCATTCATACTGCATTCGCATCCAAAGTTACACGAAGCTGTTAAATTGACTTGGAACGGCTGCGTACTGTTAAAGTATGGAATTGTGGTCCCGGCCATCTTCAAGTTGTCACAGCCCAGAAAAAATAATAGGCCGTAGCACAATAGGCAGATTGAATTTGATATTAAAACGAACTGCACTGCACCCTTCGGTCTGAGCTCCATTTTTTTCAATACCAGACCACCCATGAAGATGCCTATGCAAGCTCCTGGTATAGCTATGGATCCTAAAAATATTATTTTGGGTTGAAAGAAATTAATAATAGTAGTACCTAGGCATTTACCTGTAAAGACACTGGCTTGGCTCTTTCCTAAGCTAAACTGTGTTTCCAGATATTTAGGAAGAAAAACGACAAATCCAGATACTATTATAAGTTCCATGCAGGCTCCCAAACAGGTAACCATATAAACAGGATTTGAAGCCAATCTCCACATTGATCTTGGAATATCTGGAATAACAAAACCTTCAATTAAAGCTACATTAATACTATATTATCTTATGTGTCCATGTAGTTTCTATTGAATTCAGAAAGAATTTTCTTTCAGGTTCGCTCATTTATTCGCCCATTTTTGTTAATGTTGAGTCGGTAACACTAGTTTGTAGCTTGTTAGATATACACTGTGGGCCGGAATAAAGGAGTACATTTTTTAATTGAAAATATTTTTTTTTGGTTTTTGGGCGATTTAATTTATTTTTGCAGGACTGACATGTCCTCAGCATGACTGTAAACTTGAAAGCAAAAATAATGTACAGGGTCGGACTTATAAAAAAAATTATATAACAGTGCATTTGAGCTCGTTGCAAATGAAAACTGTCTTAGCTAAAATTGTACTAATATGCTTTTTCGGTAGATAAACTATCCAGAACACTTCAGTAAAAAGGAAATTTTCCGAAATTACCGGATTCGCGAAATATAATTTTTTTATTGAATAACATTTTAACAAATAACACATTTATGAAAACAGTTTAGTAATTTTAAAACTTAGAGTAAAATATTATGAATGTGGCCACTATTATTGTTTATCACTTCTTTTATGTCAATTTTACTTAGTAGGCCATGACTGCTCAGGTTGTCATGGAATTTGTTTGACATTTACAGCTAAATAAGTAAATTAGTCAGTTCATAATGCCACTTTTAAGCAAAGAGGACAGAATATTAATTAAATATTACCGTGAAAAATATAATTATGGTGCAAGAAAAATTTTAAATGAATTTCCTGAAAAAAAATGGCTTATTGGAACGATAGGAAAGTTCTTAAGACATCTAAGGGAAACCGATGGGTCTATTGAACATAAACGTGGAAGAGGAAGGAAGCGAAGCTCAAGAACTGAAGAAAATATTGGTAGAGTAAGGGTTGTTTTAGGAAATTTGCAACCTGGCCAATCTGTTGGAACAAGGAAAATCGCAAAAATAACTAGGATTCCCCGTACGTCAGTTCGAAGAATCATTAAAGAAGACTGCCATCTAAAAATATTTTAAAAAGTTTACTGTCAAAGACTTACAGCCAATGTAAGAGAAAAACGATTGGAAAGATGTAATTTGCTAGTACGAAGATTCCGCTCTCGCGAAGACATTAGAAAAATATGGTTTTCAGATGAAAAAATGTTTTATTTACGGCCACCTAAAAATACCCAAAATAATAGGGTATATTCTGACGTACAATATAAGATAGAAATTCCTTTAGAGCATCTTTTCATTGAAAAAAGTCATTTCTCAAAAGGTGTAATGGTCTCTGTTGCAGTATCTAAATCTCGTCTGATTTTTGTTGATGCTGGGGTAAAACTCAATTCAGAAACGTATCAAAAACAAATCTTGCAGCACCTATTAACAGAAATTGAAGATTTTTGTTACGATTACACTTTCCAACAGGATGGTGCTCCCTCGCACACTTCCCATAGTACAAGGATGTTTTTGAGTGAAAATTGCCCGGATTATATTGAGCCAGAAATGTGGCCACCTAACAGCCCAGAATTAAATCCGGTTGATTATTCAATTTGGGGAATTTTCGAACAAAATTTGTACGACGGACAACAATTCGAAACAATCGAGCAGCTGAAAGCAAGGATGCAGTTTGTTTGGAACAATTTTGAACAGGGTGCAATAAATGGGGCTATCAATTTATGGCGCAGACGACGTCAACAAGTGGTGAACAATAATGGTGGCCACATTCATAATATTTTACTCTAAGTTTTAAAATTACTAAACTGTTTTTGTAAATGTGGTATTTGTTAAAATGTTATTTAATAAAAAAAATGATATTTCGCGATTCCGGTAATTTCGGAAAATTTCCTTTTTACTGAAGTGTTCTGGATAGTTTATCTACCGAAAAAGCATATTTGTACAATTTTAGCTAAGACAGTTTTCATTTGCAACGAGCTCAAATGCACTGTTATATAATTTTTTTTTATAAGTCCGACCCTGTACATTATTTTTGCTTTGAAGTTTACAGTCATGTTGAGGACATATTAGGTTATTAGCCCTGCAAAAAGAAATTAAATCGCCCAAAACCCAAAAAAAATATTTTCAATTAAAAAATGTACTCCTTTTTTTCGGCCCACAGTGTATAAGCTGATATTATAAAACTCACCAAGCAATATCGAGAGTAATAGGTATACTATACCAGTTAAATCAGAAGTTGGTTTTTATGAAAATATGTATGCAACAAAAATATATAGTTTCAAGAATGTTATACCAAAGTTTACGTTATACCTATTTACAAACTGAGAAGTATACTTTTCATATTGTGAAGCGTTCAATGACAATTTGTTTCTTACCTTTGATATCTTTTCCATAAGCAGTATCATCTTTTGTCATTGCATTAGCTGGTTTCTCCTTTTCCTTACTGCTAGTACTGGCAGCGGCAGCATTTGCAGCAGCCTGCTTCTCAATTAGCCGTATTTTCTCTTTTTCGTGAGTGAGAACTTTTGGAAAAGAGAAAAAGGGAATGGCAACAATAATCAAGAGAAAGCCGCAAAGTAAGAAGCCTCCCCACCACATGCCCACCCATTTACTATCTCCCGCGTTTATGGAAATTATTTTTGACAATGAGTCCATGTGAAACGATAGGAGATAAGCGCCTAGTAGAAATCCTAGAACTGGCCCAAAAGCTGCCATGCTATACATGCAACCTGAAAAAAATTGTGTCAAATTTGGAAATTTTTTGTTCATGATATTATCTTACCAATGTAAATAGAGGAACTTTCTGATCTAACGTGGTCATCGATGTAAGTAGTGCCTAGAGTAAAAAGTGGCGATCCTCCGCACCCTAAGAGTAATTGGGCCAAAACGAATAGCAATACGGGACCAGTTGTTGAAGGTGATCCCTGAATACAATTGTCTCCTCTTATATTATTAGGCGCTAAAGGTGGCGACGACAGGCCAGAAGATAACCTCCCAAGTCCCATATCTTGCTCGTGCACTGTCACTATACGACACATGTTCTCTTCGCTGTTATTTACTTCACTCATTCCAACATTTTCATCTGCTATGAAATGCGGCACCATAAAAATGAGGGATCCCATCCCCATTATGACCGCGCCAACGCCAATCCACACTGGAATATGACGGCGACTTCCCAAATAACTAACAAATATCACGGTTATCACATTTCCTATTTCATAAGACGACGCTACTAGTCCCGAGAGACTTGAAGGTATCTCGAATCGTTTTTCAATTGTTGTTATCACAGAATTGATATATCCAGAGCTTAGCGCTTGCTGAAGAGTGACCAAGATCGACAGCAGCAGTACGAAAAACTGAAAATAAAATATTATATCAGCACATACAACAAAAGAGTTCTTAACTTATTCTGAGAATCTTTTTGTTATTGTTACTAGGAATTCCAACATACACTGGAATAGTAAGTTATTCTAAATAGGACTGGAGCTATTTGTTGTTGATAGTGGGTAAAACATAATAAACAGAATAACACGTTGGAACGCTAACGGTGGAACCTCAATGGACCATTTTTTGCACGATGCGAATTGTGAAGACATTCCACAAGTCAATCCAATATCTCCCAAATAAATTAAATTTCCACAAAAAAATGCATTATAGGTAACAGTTTATTGTCTGTGTTGTTTTTTCTTAACAAGGTTTTCCTTTCGAGATTTTTTTTTTTAAATATTAAGGGGATTCTTTATTTTGTATAATGTAAAAAATAGATTTAGGTACCAAAGAAACCTCAGCAGCTTCAGAACACCACATAATGATAGAATGAAGCACTTAGAGTTGACATGTTTAGGAAAGAGAAGGATAAGAGGATGAGAAGAACTTGGAAAACAATTATCAAGATACAAACGCCAGTGAGATGTTCTGTCCCAATTTCAATTCTCATCTTCAAGGTCACTCTCAAACACTCAACAAGGAAGAAGCAAAAGTGCATACAGGGTGTTACAAATTCGCGAGTGAGTAATGGGGATCTCGGTAACCATAAGAGATACAGGCTCGGTTAAATTAGGGCAAAATTCGCAATTTCTTGCTCATCAAAATGCCGTTTCGAAATTTCGAAGATTCCAAATACGGCGATATTCGGAAAAAACCGAAATTTTGCAAACACTTTTTCTCCTCTACATTATGGCATTTTCAATTTGAAATCGGACATTTCGTCATAAACTCTATTTTTCTAAATACGACTGGATTTTTTATCTAGTTCTTTGTTAGTTTTTAGCTTCCTTGATAAAATGCGATGGTATATCAAAACAATCGATAAAATGACCATTTCAATGAAAAAGTATGTTAATTTGTATGGAGATGCTCATCTTGGTCAAACACATTGTTTTCTTAATAAATTTGCCTTCGTTAAATGCACTATTTTATGGCAAGTAGGTAGGTACTTGATAATTAAATCGTTTCTATTTATTTTAATTTAATATCTCTTACGGATTTCGAGATATTGAAGCTTAAAGATTTTAGGTAAAATAAAAATCCAAAAGGGATGAAAAAACTCGATATTTTAATTTTCTAAATTTTTCGGATTTTGACTTTTCCAATCAATAGAGCGGCTCTAAATTAGTTGAAAAAAATCCCAACATCATTTCCAAATGACCAATTTAAAGAGAAAAAAAAAAACAAAAAATTGGCTCTGATTTTTTTTTTGAATCATGACAAGGTTAGGAAAAATTGCCAATATTTCCATTAAAATTTGGACAAGTGGAAATAAATTATCCACAATTAAAAATAGCATTTAATTCTCTATAAATCTGTGCTAAATTGAGCTTGATACCTCAAATACTTTTTGAGCAATTGAGCCTCAAAATTGAATTTTAGTAGAAATTTAGTCAAAAATTTCAAACTCAATTTTCTGAAAAACTATAAGCCTGAAAATATTTTCCAATACATGTTTTTTAGAACTTAATAGGAGCTACAATTCCTGAAAATATTGATACAATACCTCTCACGGATTTCACGATATGCAAGCTAAAAGATTTTGAAGTAAAAATCCAAAGTGCGTAGAGCGGGTAGTACTTAAAAAAACTCGAAATTTTAATTTTTCATATTTTTCAAATTTAGCTTCTCCAATCGATAGAGCGGGTCTGAATTGGTGGAAAAAAAAACCTTAACATCATTCAAATGACCAATTTAAAGAGAAAAAAGCAAAAAAAGTTCTGAATTTTTTTTGAATTAGGGTTAAGAAAAATTGCCAATATTTTCTTTGAAATTTGAACAAATCAAAATAAATCATACACCATTAGAAAGGGCATTAAATTCTTTATAAATCTGTGCTAAATTGAGTTTGATAGCTTAAATACTTATTGAACAATTGAGCATCGAAGTTGAATTTTAGTCGAAATTTAGTAGAAAACTTGAAACTCAATTTTCTCAAAAACTATAAACCTGAAAATATTTTCCAATAAATGTTTTTTAGAACTTAATAGGAGCTACAATTCCTAGAAATTTTGATTCAATATCTCTCACGGATATCACAATAATCAAGCTTAAAGATTTTGAAAAAAAAATCCAAAAGGGGGTACTTATTTGAAAAAAATCGCAGAGGGGTCTAAATACAAAAAAAAAAAAAAAAAAAATTGAATATTTTTTCAAAAAATAATCTGAGGTAGGTACTTGCCTTGATGCTTGCTAGACTTTGTACGCAGGGAGGTCTTAGTCCCATAATGCCGCAGTCCTTCGAATGCCTCAGTATCACAGGTGGTTCGTTGGATCGGCCCATGGTGCCCACGGCTGATTGCACTGCCCGATGTGGATCAAAACCGGCGGACGGGTTCCGACTGTGGCATTTGATGACTGTTTCGGTACCGTGACAAAAAGCCGTAGTGCACTTGGTGGTGGTAGCCGCGTCACCCGAAAACGTTTCAGCTTGTTCCTCAGGGATGCTTTCTGAGTACAAGCCGGTCATGGCGTACATTGATTCTTGTCGCCTAGAAGAAAAAAAACACTACTTTCAGCTCAATTCAGTAATAATAATTTATTTATGGGATTATAGTCCATTTATTATTAATAACATGCGATAGAACGCAAGTATGACCCATAATAATTCAAACACAAAATGTTCGATAGTAAATAATTTAGAGCAGTTTCTTATTTCCGTTTTCAACCATATTAATGAAGGTGAAGGGCAGAGCCACAGGAATATTCTATTTCCAAAATATGCTACATACAAATATTCAAATTGCAATTTTATAGAGAGCATTAGATATTCCCAACAAATGCATAATATGTATATAGTTTGAGAAATCTAAAAACAATCTTGGAAACGTTCACTATCAAACCAATATAGAAAATAGCGGAGCCACATTATACAAGCAGAACATTAACTTCAACACTTCGCACTTAACCAGACTTTAACTCTGATATGAAATCTTGCAATTGGACTTGTTATATTTTTAAATAGAGTTCCAACTTGAACTAAAAAATTGACTTATTTATGTTATTAAAGCTAAAATCAAGTACACTTCACCTATTAAGACGAAATGATTAGACTTCAGCCAAACGCTAACTAATAGGTAGGTACTATTGATATAAAATGTATCATACAGTATCAATATTCTTTACGTCGTAAATAAGAGTCACTAGTAAACTTTGCTATTATCTATTAGACATAACTTTGGTATGCAATCTGTCATATTTGCGATAAAACTGCACTTGTGTCTGTAACAACACATCTTTTGTTTTAAATTAAATTATTCATACATTATTTATTTGAAAAAAAAAATTTAAGTCTGAAAATTTATGCTTTAAAAATATTGAGAATATTCAAATAGTCACTTCTAAGCTGTTTGGAACTCCATTCTTGATCCGTTTCAAATCAAAGCCTTCTAAATGTTGATCAATTCATACTGCTTGCATTGAACTAAGATGGTCGCTTGGATAAGGCATCTGCGTTGTTATGTAGTTCCCCAAAACGATATTTGAATTGAAAATTGTAATGTTTCAACTTCTCTTTATAGCCATCTCGCTACCTGTATCTTATTTAAGAGCCATTCGAGCGATGCATGGTCTTTTCGTATGAGATATTTTACTTTACACGTAAGTACCTACTTGTGGAAATTATTTACTGCTCTGATTATTGCTAACGCAGTAATTTTTCTTGGAAGCACTCTACATCCTTCTACAAATCGTCTGTAGTACGTGCAAGGGGCTCTGTGAAGTAGGCAGGCACACTTGAAGCACAAAAGTTAAATTTTACGTTCTCGTTTAGTGCGTCGTTAGTACTTCAATGTGCTTCAGTTCCCAAATTAGCAACCTTTGATGTATTTTCGGAGATATTTCGGTTTTTTGAAATCGCCTGCTGACTTCACACCCAGCAGTAGCAAGGGAAGCACCAATGTTTAGTTACAGATAGATGTGCTTCCATGTGCTTCAATCCCCAAATTTGAGAATTGAAGCACATTGAAGCACTAACGAAGCACTGACCATTTACTTGTAACTGGACCTTGGAACTTCCCTTGTTCCTGCTGGGTGTGAAGTGAGCAGGCGATTTCAAAAAACCGAAATATCTTCGAAAATACAAGGGTTGCTAATTTGGGGATTGAAGCACCAACGAAGCCCTAACAATTTATCTACAACTGAACGTTGGTGCTTTCCTTGTTCCTGCAGGGTGTGAAATAAACTGGCGGTTTCTGCGGATTAGGAATGCTTTAACACCAAAGGCTTTTTGGAACATACTAAAAAGGCATTCTTATTGGAAAAAGCAATTTATACCATTGATGAGTTCTTTGAGCAATCCTAATTTAGTGTGATATTTAATCTCAATAGTCAACTGGCCATACCTATATTGTTGTTTTTATATTATGTTGTATTCTGTATTGACCATTTTTTACATTGTTGATTGTTATTATTTTTATTATTTTTTATTGTTCTTTTTATTGGCTGTACTTAAAATGCTTGTCTTATTGTCAGGTTTTTTTTTCTCTTTATTTGATTACGTGTTTATTGACTGTTTGTTTGTAACTAGGTACGTCATTATTGTTTTTTTTACTTTTAATTTACTTTAGTTTAGTTTTTAAGTATGCTTTGTCAATAAGACCTATTACATGTAATATTTATTGGACAATAAAGTACTTTTCATCATCATCATCATCATCATGAAAACCGAAATTTTTATGAAAATATAGGGGTTGCTAAATTGGAGATTGAAGCACATTGAAGCACTAACGAAGTACTAACCATTTATCTGTAATTGAACGTTGGTGCTTCCCTTGTTCCTGCTGGGTGTGAAGTGAGCAGGCGATTTCAAAAAACCGAAATATCTCCAAAAATTCATGGGTTGCTAATTTGGGGATTGGAGCACATTGAAGCACTAACCATTTTATCTCTAACTGAACGTTGGTGCTTCCCTTGCTCCTGCTAATGGGTGTGAACTGAGCAGGCGATTTCAAAAAACCGAAGTATACGATGGTTGCTAATTTGGGGTTTGAAGCACATTGAAGCACTAATGACGCGATAAACGATTACGTAAAATTTAACTTTTGTGCTTCAAGTGTGCCTGCCTACTTCGCAGAGCCCGTGCAAGGTCCAACAAAACTTACATTTTGTAAATTTCGTAACGAACCTATAATCAACATAAAATCTGGCATATCTGATATATTTAAAGAACTCGTTGTTGCCAAAATGAAATTCTCACCTTGAAGTTGATACCTTTATGTAAACAAAAAAGTTGCCAGAACTTTTTCCAACGTTGATGTCCATATTCCGCTATGAAAACGCAATTAAATAAAGCTTTCACGGGCATAATAAAACCCATAATTTGAAACAAAAACAAATTGACGATACTCTAGAAAAAACAAAGGTCTGCCCCTGTACAAGTATTTTACCTAAATAAAAGGTTAGCGCTTAATTAAAGTAATTTTCTCGGGTCAATGCTGTAGAGAGCAACAAAGTATCAATTACTATTAAAATGTCACTGACCATTCAGTTTTGTACACTTTATAATACACATCTAGCTTTGCAAAATTAGATATAAATATGGTGTCTTTCTAAACTTGGAAACTAAATTAAAATATAAAAATAACTAAGGAGACACAATCTAATGGATTTTAGAAGACATTGATTGAAAGCTCAAACTAGAAAGAGTCTTGAAAAAATAATATGCAGACTAAAAATAGTTTGCCATGTCAGTCTTTTTTTTAAATTAAATTGAGGAAATGGTTTGTTCGGAAAATTATGAAATTATTGGTTATCCAATTAAAATGCTTGTAGAGAAGGAACTAAGCGAAGTTGAAGCAAAAGATGAAAAAAAAAAAAAGAGGGCGATGAGTGATAAATTTGCAGTACTTACATTGAACACAGAAAATGAGGATCACTTATTTTATTTTATTGAATAATTACCCAATTAGAAGAAATGCCGGCTCCTAATTTTTTCTTAGGTGCTAATTAGGTACCTACTGATTAGAAATGCATTCATAAAGAGAATTCCTTTTATTGCCATTTTCAACAACAATTACTACTTCAAGTGCTGTTCAATATTGATGGTTAATAAATGAAATAACAATGTTAGTATTCTAATGTCTATTCTTTTGTTTTCCCATTGCAATTATTGCACTAGTTCGACTCCATTGAAAGCTTATTTACATGAATTAAACGCGCATAAATAGTACTGGGTTGAATAATTAATGCCAGACTAAAGTGACTAAACTAATTTTACCTGTGTCCTTTGCATACCGCGGAGCTCTGACCGCCCCCTTCTGAGCCTGTATTGGGGGTCGTGCCACCCTTTTCGCTAGCCATTTTGTGGCCTGAGTGAATATCCAGAGTCACTTCACATAAGCAAGTTTCGTCGTCATGGTTGGTACTCGCTCTTCTGAGTGCTGCAAAGAAAATATATCGGTTATAAACATCAAATAACAATTAATATAATATGAACTGAGGGATAAAACAAATATTTGAAATGACTTATTACATTTTATTGGTTAAAGATACCAATATTTACATACAATAGTTTGAAAACAACAAAATAAAGATTTTCTTCCCCGTCATTAACCTTTATGTTTTTAATCTAAATATAACTTTGTTACTTTTTCTATCAATATTTATTTGACAAAAAATGATAAGTCTATTTATTATTATGTGATGGGTTTTTATTTTTCTCGAGTATTTTCAGGCAAAACAATCAAAAATTGAAAAACATGTTTCTCACTGCAACTAATATACATAATAACAATTCGGAAATTTAATAGGTATAGTATGCACATATCTATATAAATAATTCGTTCTCAAATAGTAGAGTTAGAGTTTTTGTGTTGTCATCCTGTTTGCGTTCTGAATCATTCAATGCATACTACACCTTCTTTATAAAAACGACACATCAAAATATTACTAGAATAACCAAATTGTATTACAATCAACGACACTACACTCTTTTATACACATAATAAGAAGAATCCAGTTTCTTAAGTACTGGAACTTCTGAATAACAAAATTTAGGATGAAGATGACATTAGAAATATGGACAAATTATTGTCTTTAACCTACAGAAAATGTTATACCTACAGGAAAAAAGCATTATTCTATTGGATGTTGGAATATCGCCTCAAAACCACAACAATAGTTCAGGTGAGAAGTCTTCTATACATGATGAGCTTAATTTGAACTTATTTTGTCTCAATTTCCAAAGGTAATACATACAATCTTCAATGGGCTTCACAATCTATCCCGGTTCATATTCAGCTCGACCAAGCAATTTCCCCAAGGTTTCAGAGGGCTTTTCAGATGAAGCCAATAAAATTTCGTACATATCAGCACAGGTTCATATTTGTCTGGGATCGATTTTAAAAAGGGGAATTTCATTTTTATGACTTTTCAGGTTTATTTTATGCAAGCCTTAGAAAAGATATTTGATATCCGTATTACATGGTGGATATTATACTGCATTTCAAGCGTAAAATATGATTATTTTCGCCTAAACTGAACCGTTATGGAAATATACATTTATTCCGCACAAAGAAGCTTGTAACTGTAAAGAGACACAACGATATAGTTGAGAGAGGATGGAACAAGATTGTAATTAAAAAAAATATTTCCAATACAAATTTGCCAATACCATAGGTAATAAAATCGTATACCAACATAAACCTAGATTAATTAGGTAAGTATGGTATAGGTCATTATGATAACCTATCGTAACCAGTTCTTTTCAGTTAGGTATGTCAACGCTCTTATTTATTTGGAATTTTACAGAAAACCGTAAATGTTTGATTTCCCATGTTGTTCAAAATCTCGAATATCGCGAAGCGATAATGCTTGTAATAACTCGTTAAGGGCAAAGTTGCGATATATGAAATGTCCTAATTAATAATCTGCACGTCATCGTCCTAATCTAATGCGCGTTTTCGTCATAAAAATGAAACATAAAACCACAGGTTATAAAATCGTACCATAGGTAATCAAATCGTACCAACATAAACCTAGATTGATTGGGTGTAGGTCCTGATAACCTAACGTAACCTGTACGTTTAAGTTGCTTGACCGCTCTCATTTATTTGAAGTTTTACAGGAAACCCTAAAAGTTTTATTTTCCATGTCGTTCAAAATCTCGAATAGGTACCACGAAGCGATAATGCTTGTAATAACTCGTTAAGGGCACAGTGACTAATTTTATTTCTCAGTGCCAACTGCCGTAGACTTCTTTGGAGTTTTATACTCATCAAGCTTTCATCTACATACTTTGTCAGTTATTCCACTGTCAGACTTATATTCAATTCACATTTATTGGATCTTAGGTATTTAACTTCTTGATTCGAAATTAGAGTTTTCTTCCAATTTCGCTTCTTGAATCATTTCTCCCTTTTTACTGAATCTAGAAATATTTTTTTCTTCTGTAATATGTAGATGAGTATTGAAGCTCCTGTTTTGTCCCATATTAAAAATACAAAAGCAAATAATATATACATATTGAAATTTTTAAAATATTTTTATATTATAGTGTATAGTAGTGTCATATCTATTTATGTTTTTATTTGACTGATAACAGTTCATTAACGAAAGACGCAAAAAAGTATGAAATACTAAACCATTATTACCAGTGTCCAATTTTAACGTTGGCCAGACGTTTTCCTACTACTTCTATATGACCTTATGATTGGTCGTGTCAGACGAGGGTTTTAAAAACGTTTCAGAAGTCACAAGATATAAAGATAACAACAGATTGACGTCTTCAATTTAAAGCTGGTTTTTATTCATTACATCAAAATTAAGCTTGATAAAGGGCTGATTTCTTGACCAAATATTAAGGACGACGGCCAAACATAATTTTAATGAAAAATCATTGACGGTCACTTACCGCACCGTATCTGAACTTCGGGCGACGTTGCATTTCGTTAATACGTAGTCGCAGCGACATGTATGTGCTACTTGATTATGCTCAGAAATGGAATTAGATGCAAAAAAATCATGTAAAATTTCAATTAAATCACCTCTGGAAGCTTCTATAAAATATTTTAAGCAATCAGGGAAACTTCAAACCTTCAGGATTTATTGAGTAGGGTCTTTTTGTCAAACGGATCAAACCCCGAATGGATCTCAGGCTCAAAAATGGATATTTTTTTCTCACTTAAAGCAATAGAATCCTAAAATTTCATTCGGATCTCCTTTGGAAGTTTAGGAAAAATCCTTTGAGAAATCAGATGAAGGCATTCAAACTTTCAGGATTTATTAAATAGGGTCTTTTGGTCAAGCAAAACAAACCACAAATGGATCTCATGCTCAGAAATAAATTGGGTGATTTTTTTCTCACTAAAACGCAATAAAATCATGTAAAATTTCTATTCAATCACCTTTGGAAGCTTCTGAAAAATACTTCAAGCAATCAGAAGGCCTTCAAACCCTCAGGATTTATTGAGTTGGGTCTTTTCATCGAACAAAACAAACCACGAGTGGATCTCAGGCTCATATATGGAATTATGGATTTATTTTTCATACCTAAATGCAATAGAATCATGTAAAATTTCTATTAAACCACATTTGGAAGCTTCTGAAAAATACTTCAAGCAATCAGAGAAACTTCAAACCTTCAGGATTTATTGGAGTAGGGTCTTTTTGTGAAACAAATCAAACTGCGAATAGATCTCAGGGTCAGAAATAGAATAAGAAATTTTTTCTCACTTGAATTCAATAAAATCATGTAAAATTTCTATTAAATCTCCTTCGGAAATTTCTGAAAAATACTTCAAGTAATTAGAAAAACTTCAAACTTTCAAGAATTATTGAGCAGGGTCTTTTTGTCAGACAAAACAAACCGCGGAAGGATCTCATGCTCAGAAATGGAATTATGATTTTTTTCTCACTTAAACGCAATAAAATCATGTAAAACTTCTATTAAATCACCTTTGGAAGCTTCTGAAAAATACTTCAAGCAATCAGAAAAACTTCAAACCTTCAGGATTTATTGAGCAGGGTCTTTTCATTGAACAAAACAAACTGCGAGTGGATCTCAGGCTCAGAAATGGAATTATGAATTTTTTCTCACTTAAACGCAATAAAATCATGTTAAATTTCTATTAAATCACCTTTAGAAGCTTCAGAAAAATACTTCAAACAATCAGAAAAACTTTCAGGAATTATTGAGTAGGGCTTTTCATCGAACAAAACAAACCGCGAGTGGATCTCAGGCACAGAAATGGAATTATAATGCTTTTTCTCACTGAGATGTAAAAAACTCATGTAAAATTTCTATTAAATCACTTTTGAAAGCTTCTGAAAAATCAGAGGAACTTCAAACTTTCAGAATTTATTGAGCAGGGTCTTTTTGCCAAACAGAACAAACCGCGAATAGATCTCAGGTTCAGAAATGGAACTATGAATTTTTTCGCACTTAAATGCAATAAAGTCATGTAAATTTTTTATTAAATCACCTTTGGAAGCTTGTGAAAAGTCCTTCGAGAAATCAGAGGCACTTCAAACTTTCAAGATTTATTAAGTAGGGTCTTCTTATCAAACAAAACAAACTAAGAGTGGATCGCAGGCTCGGAAATGGGATTATGATTTTTTTCTCACTTAGATGCAAAAAAATCGATAATTGACTTTTGTGTTTAATACTGTTTACGACCAAATTGAAACCTTGACAACAAAGTTTAATTTATACAATGCAATTTCAAGATACATAATTAGAAAGAAATATAAATTTTCGCAAAGTAGAAAAATCAGGCTTTCTGACGATGACAAAATATACAGGGTGTTTCAATAAAAATAAGGCAGTATTTTTATTTTAAAAAATCGCATGTCTGTAAAACCAAATTTCATCAAATCCTAGGATTCGAAAACATTGTGATTTTTTTTTAAGTCCCTCTTCTCCCAGAACAAACCGCATCTCGTTATCTTTCCTTGTTTTAGAGATATTTACATGCAAAATGTGTCAGTTTATCCAAAGACACCCATGTATTTTGCATTCTTTTAAGTTATTATTTAATGTACTACATATATGATTGAATAAATAAATACAAGACTACAGAAATTCATTAATTCATAAAAAAAACACAAACTGTAAAGTTCTGTGAATAGATAAGTAGGCATTTTGTTAGAACTTCAAGTGTTGGATTAGTGCGAGTTCGAGAAAACACCCTTAGGCTTGCATATTAAATTTAGAAATGAACATTCTAACAAAGCCTATAATGGTCTGAAAAATTTCAAGTTTTACCATGGAAAGCTTGTTTGAAAAAAGTTTGACATTTAAACACAAACTTTCCAAATAAGACACTCTGTCCTCTGTAGGAATATAATATTGAAATATCATGGGGCGTTTTGTTGTCTTGGGAAAGCTCTGTTTAGAATATGAAAAAAGTATTATCCAATTTACAGAGTATTTCATAGAACC